GACCCCATTTGGGGTCGATTGACTTCTTTTGTGTCGCCAAATGCGGCGATCCGCCATTTTGTCCCCTCCGGGGGCGCGCCGCGCCTCCGGGGGGGCGCCGCCGCGCACGCGCGCTGCGCATGGGGGTGGCGCTGCACCCCCGGGGTGGCGCCGCGCATGCGCGCCGCGCATGGGGGGCGGTGCCACGCATGCGCGGTGCGGCACGCATGCGCATAACGTTTGTGTGACGGGGGTCGCCGTCACACAAACGTTGAGAACCGCTGCACTGGTTAATTATTCTCACTGTCAGGAAAATTCTCCTTAGTTCCAGGTTGCTTCTCTCCTTGATTAGATTAGGCTAGACTACTTTTACTGAGGCAGGCTTTTGTCGTTTTGTGTGCTAGTGTGAGTCCATGTGGTTGTAAGATTCTGTCGGTGGTTTTTGAGATGTTCTTGAGGTATGGCAGTGTGATTCTTCATAGGGCTGACTTTGGAAAGAAGTCTGCTTTCACTGGAAGTTGTTATTTTGTGTAAAAGTATTACTTGGTGGCAAGTGGAAGCAAAACTCACAGAAATAGGAACGAAGCACCGTGAAGAAATAGTTGCATTGGTGGCTGACTTCAGGCAGTCCTCACCTGAGGGACACAATCGAGCCCAAAGGTACTGTTGCTAAGTGAGTCCGTCCCTAAGTGAATTTTGCCCCCATTTTAAGCGAATTGCTCTAGTTGTTATAAATTAGTATCTATATCTCTATATTTATATCTATCTATCTATCTATCTATCTATCTATCATCTATCTATCTATCTATCTTATTTATCTCTCTCTACCTCTCTACCTCTCTCTCTCTATCATCTCTCTCTCTCGCTATCTATCTATCTATCTTATTTATCTCTCTCTGCCTCTCTCTCTCTCTCATCAATCTCTCTATCTCTCTCTCTACCTACCTACCTACCTACCTTATCTATCTATCTATCTATCTATCTATCTATCTATCTATCTATCTATCTATCTATCTATCTACCTATCTACCTACCTACCTACCTACCTACCTACCTACCTACCTACCTACCTACCTACCTATCTATCTATCAATCAAGATAGAGATAGAGATATATTTCCCTAATCTTAATTCCACTGTTCAGTGTATCTTCATTCTCTGATCTGGATCCATTGCTTCAAGCTGTGCGTGTGTGTTTTTTGCTAAAACCTTTTGCTACTTCTGCCAAATCACCCCAATGGATTTTTATTTATTAGTTTGTATCCCACTTTTATTATTTTTTTACAAATAGAACTCCAGGCGACAAACATGTCTAACACTTCCTCCTCCTCCTCCTCCTCCTCCTCCTCCTCCTCCTCCTCCTCCTCCTCCTCCTCCTCCAGGTTCACTTAACAATTGTAGCAAGCAAGGCCTTAAAACAGGATGAAACTCCTTGAACAAAAGTCTCACTTAAGGAAATAAATTTTGGGCTCAGCTGCGGCGGTAAGTCAAGGACCACCCATACCAGAGTTGGCAGGGACCTTGGAGGTCATCCAGTCCAACTCCCTGCACAAGCAGGAGCCTCCCTAAAGCCACCCTATTCCATAAACCATAATCTCTGTCCTAAAACCCTGGTTTGTGACGGGAGGCGTTGGGAAAGGCTGCCGAGCTATTCAAAGGAAGGAAATTCTTGGAACAGTGTGAAACCGACAGAGGAAGCCCTGCTAGACTTTCTGGATGAGTTCCAGTTGAGTTCAAAACAGGAATAACCATGTTTGTTGTCGGTCTTTGAACAAGGCACTGTGGGGGATCCTTGGATGCCGGTTTATAAGGAGACCGAGGCTTATTGTGTCTGCTGTGGGTGGACAAAGCCGGTCTGAGCTGCAGACGGATCGGCTGGTTTATCATGGGCAACTTTTAACAAGCTTTCCTGTTTAATAGATCTGACCCAAAACCTGCCAGCCGAAGCAGAGGGTTAATACAGGAAGTCCCTGACTTACGACGGTTCATTTAGTGACCGAACTTACAAAGGGATTGAAAGAAGCGATTGTTTTTCACACTCACGACCATCGCAGCCACCCCCAGGGTCACGTGATCAGAATACAGAAGGCTCGGCAACTGGCATGTACTTAGGACGGTTGCAGTGCCCCTGGGGGATCACGCGATCCCCTTTTGTGACAAGTAAAGTCAAAGGGGGAAGCTAGATTCGTTTAACAACGGCATCACTAACTGAACAACTGCAGGGATCCACTCAACAACGGCGGCACGATAAGTCACAAAATGGGGCAAAACTCACTTGACCCGTGTTTCACTTAAGAACACAAGTGTTGGGCTCAGGTTGGGATTGTAAGTTGTGGACTTACGAGCCCCACATTTCTGTTGCTAATTGCTCAATAACAAATGCCTCGCTTAGCAGCAGAAATGTTGGACTCAACTGTTGGTTGTAAATTGAGGATGAGCTGTAAAGAGGGTCTGCTTTAACAAATGACAGAGATGGGCTGTGTCTACACAAGATGTGGAATCCTTCCCCCCCCCCCCAAATCATCTGCAAAATATGCCTGGCTCTACACCATACCTTAACATTTTCATGCAGCTTTTTTTAAAAAACAACAACCCACAGTCTCAGAGAGAGAGAGAGATAAATGACAGTATAGATAGATATAAATATGGATGATATAGATAATATAAAAGATAGGTAGGTAGGTAGATAAGTAGAGATAGATAGATAGATAGATAGATAGATAGATAGATAACAAAATAGAGAAAGAGAGAGATATGGATGATAGATATAGATGATATACATGATAGGTAGGTAAATATAGATAGAAAGATCGATAGATAGATAGATGACAGTATAGATAAATAGATAGATGACAAGAGAGAGAAAGAGAGAGAGAGAGAGAGCTATGGATGACATAGATGATGTACATGATAGATAGGTAAGTAGGTAGGTAGGTAGATAGATAGATGACAGTATAGATAAATAGATAGATGACAAGATAGATAAAGAGAGAGAGAGAGAGAGCTATGGATGACAGATATAGATAGATGATATACATGATAGATAGGTAAGTAGGTAGGTAGGTAGATATAGATAGATAGTTAGATAGATAGACATGGATGATATAGATAGATGATATACATGATAGATAGATATATATAGAGAGATGTGTATGTATGTATGTATGTATGCGAGTCCCATGGACTGCAAGGCGATCCAACCGGTCAGTCCTAGAAGAGATCAACCCCGACTGCTCTTTAGAAGGCCAGATCCTGAAGTTGAAACTCAAATACTTTGGCCACCTAATGAGAAGGAAGGACTCACTGGAGAAGGGCCTAATGCTGGGAAAGATGGAGGGCAAGAGAAGAAGGGGACGACAGAGAAGGAGGTAGCTGGAGGGAGTCACTGAAGCAGTAGGTGTGAACTTAAATGGACTCCAGAAGATGGTAGAGGACAGGAAGACCTGGAGGAACGTTGTCCATGGGGTCGCAATGGGTCGGACACGACTTCGCAACTAAAGTCATGTATGTATGTATGTATGTATGTATGTATGTATGTATGTATGTAAAATATTCCATTATGCAACGCTATAGGCTTTAAAAAAACAAGTCATGGTATCTTAGGGTATTCCTGGCCTGTTTCCATAGCAACAGAAAGCACAGCTACTTTTTGATGCTCGGCTGAAAGAGGCACAGAGTTTTCGCTGATGAAAAATCTGAGGCCAAAAATCTGCTTGTCTCAAAATTCAGGGACTTTTGGGGGGGGGCGGTTCAGCAACATCTCCCCCCCCAGTTGTGGCTGTTTTCTTTGGAGTTTTCCTGATTTTTCTTCCTCAGACAACATCCAGGAGCCATCCGCCACCTTCGTGGGGAGTCAGATGAAGATACAGATAGTCCTCAGCTTACGACCACGATTGAGCCCCAAGACATTTGTTAAGGGAGCTTCCCCTCCATTTTATGACCTTTCTTATTAAGCGCATCACCGCCTTTGTTAAGTTAACTTCATTGACTAAGTTAACAATGAACCAGTGGAACCACTTGCCACCAGAAGTTGTGAGTGCTCCAACATTGGAGATTTTTAAGAAGAGACTGGACAGCCATTTATCCGAAATGGTGTAGGGTTTCCTGCCTGAGCAGGGGGTTGGATTAGATGACCTCCAAGGTCCCTTCCAACTTAATAATAATAATAATAGTAATAGTAATAAAAGTTGGAAGGGACCTTGGAGGTCATCTAGACCAACCCCCTGCTCAGGCAGGAAACCCTATACCAGCGATTCTCAACCTTTCTAATGCCGTGACCCCATAATACAGTTCCCCATGTTGTGGTGACCCCCAAGTGGGTGTGGCCACCAATAAGAGGGAGTAGGACAGCTAGGGAAAAGGGAAAAAAATGGCAGACAGCGTGGTTTGGCGACCCCCGTGAAATGGTCATTCGACCCCAAATGGGGTCCCAACCCACAGGTTGAGAACCACTGCCCTATACCATTTTGGACAAATGGCTGTCCAGTCTCTTCTTAAAAATTTCCAGTGTTTGAGCATTCACAGATTATTATTATTATTAATTATTATTATTATTATTATTACTACTACTACTACTACTACTTATTGTTTTTTAAATACTAACCCAGACAGTAGCAGCAGCAGTAGTAGTAGTAACAACAAAACAACAAAAGAACAAAACAACAACAACAATAATAAATAATAACAACAAATGGCATATACGGTTTCCTGCCTGAGCCGGGGCTGGACTAGAAGATCTCTAAGGTCCCTCCCCACTCTGCTCTCAAGGAAGAAAGGCGCTCCAGCCGCGTCTCGCCCAGCGGGGACCAGCCGCATTCGGGGCAGCCCCTCAAGTGTCGCAAGGCTGGGTCGGGCGGGGGGGGCTTATCACGGGGGGGGGGACCCCTCCTCTCTCTCCCGCGGGGAGGGCCAGCAGCTTCTCTCCCCCCCTCCCCGGCGGGGCTGGCCGGCGGGGCCGGGCTCGGGGGCGCGCCCGGGAGCAGCTGGGCCGGCGGGGGCGCGCCTGGGCGGAGCCAGCCGGGGACGCCGGCCGGGGGTCGCCGCATGCCCGAAGGAAGGCAGCCGGGCTGCAAGCGGCCGTCGCTCCTTCGCTGCCCGCCGCCGCCGGGAGCAGCTCGAGCAGGAGCCGCCGCTGCAGGAGGAGGAGGAGGAGGAGGCGGGGGTGGCCCGCTCCAACCGCCCCCCACCGGGAGGCTGCGCTGCAGATGGCCAGCCCGGCTCCAGCTCCGGCAGAGAAGCCGTCGCCGCCGCCGCAGCCCGAGCCCGCCTTGGCCGAAGCCCGCCGCTGGATCGAGGTAAGCTGCAGGGGAAGGGAGGGGAGGGGGGGAGGGCTTCTCCTCCGCCGTTTTCCCTTCCTTCCTTCCTTCCTTCCTTCCTTCCTTCCTTCCTTCCTTCCTTCCTTCCTTCCTTCCTTCCTTCCTTCCCCTCTTCCCTTCCCTCTTCCTTTCCCCTTCCTTTCTCCCTTCCCTTCCCTCTTCCCTTCCCCTTCTCCTTCCCTTTTCCTCCCTCCCCTTCCCTTCCCCTTCTGCTTCCCTCTTCCTTTCCCCTTCCTTTCTCCCTTCCCTTCCCTTCCCTTCCCCCTTTCCTTTCCCCTTCCTTTCCCCCTTTCCTTCCCTCTTCCCTTCCCCTCTTCCCTTCCCCTTCTCTCTTCCTTTCCCCTTCCTTCCCCTTCCCTTCCCCTTCCTTTCCCCCTTCCCTTCCCCTTCCCCTTCCCTCTTCCCCTGCCTCACCTCTCCACTGCCCTGCAACAGTGCAGAATTTCTCTTACTGGGGTGGAGGCAGCTGGGTGGTGGGAGGGAAACCCCTCTTGGCCTTAAGCTCTTAATCACCTGGGGCTGCTCTCCTGGGGGAAGGGGGATGGGGAAGAGGAGGAGGAGGAGGAGGAGGAAGAAGAAGAGGAGGAGGAGGAGGAGAAGGAGGAGGAGGAGGAGGAGGAGGAGGAGGAGGAGGAAGAAGAAGAGGAGGAGGAGGAAGAACAAAGATCAGCAGCTCCAGGAAGGCCATGGCTCTCCCCTTCTTCCAAGAGGGATTGGAAATGGGTCTTGTGGAGGGGGCTATCAGGAAGGGCCTGCTGATGGATGTGAGCGGGGTGGAGGATGTCAGGCAGACATCCTGGAGGATAATTTGGGAGCTAAGCCCACATCCTGTAGTTTGGCTCCCAACTGCCTGCCCGTTCACTTCCACCTTCCTCTCCCCCTTGAATTATTCGATTATTAGCAATAGTTATTGAATGAGTTTGTGTGTAACCGCCCTGCTTGCACACAGGAGGGGACTCTTGGCCGCTTGCAACATTTAAAACCATTCCTCTCTGGCATGGTGAAGCACCTCCTGCATCCCACCCTCTTCTCTGCAATCGTCCGATCATTGCAATATTCCCAGTTCATTCCCATCTTCCGCACTGGAAGTATGGTTAACATTTATTAAACAAATTTTTATAGAGCCTCCCAACTCACACAGAGGTCGCGCTGGGTGGCTTACAGCATTTTAAGTAATCCTCTAGAGCAGTGGTTCTCAACCTTTTTAATGCCGCGACCCCCCAACTGGTCATAAGTCGAGGACTACTCAACCGGTCGTAAGTCGAGGACTACTCAACTGGGGCAGCACCGTTTGCAGAATGGGACTTTTAGTGGGCTCAGCAGGGCAGAGACAGCCTGGACAATTCCTATTGGCTTTTGAAAGCCAATAGAATTAGACTCTATTCAAGAGAGTTTCTTCTATTGGCTTTCAAAAGCCAATAGAATAAAAGGGAGGAGCACAGCTAAGGAAAAGGGGGAAAAAACGGCGGACTGCGTTGTTTGGCGACCCCCGTGAAATGGTCATTCGACCCCAAATGGGGTCCCGACCCACAGGTTGAGAACATCTGCTCTAGAACGGTCAAATAATCACTGCATCCGGTTCATTCGTATCTTTGGAATCATCAAATCAGGGCCTTTCTCTCTCTCCCCCCCCCCCGCTTCTCTTTTATTTTTTTATTTATTTATAAAAATTTTACTAGATGCGGTTCCTATTAAGTCGGCGTGGGGATCTTGTATTTGTTTTTATTTCCGAAAACGCTTTTGTCCCGTTCTGCAAAACAACAACAAAAAACAAACAAACCGGAGAGCGGGTGAAGGGTTGCGTTGAACTTGGCTCCTGGCAGATGTGTGTGGCCCTGCTCTTTTCCTGGATAGTCTGGTGTTTCCTTATTTCAACCTTTTAAAACCTTTATTGCAGGAATTGGGGATGGCCAGGCTAGAGAAGAGAAGGACCAGGGGGGACATGATAGCAGCGTTCCAGTATTTGAGGGGCTGCCACAAAAAAAGAGAGGGGTCAATTTATTTTCTAAAGCACCAGAGGGCAGGACAAGAAACAATGGATGGAAACTAATCAAGGAGAGAAGCCACCTGGAATTAAGGAGAAACTTCCTAACAGTGAGAACAATTAACCAGTGGAATAGCTCCTCCTCCTCCTCCTCCTCCTCCTTCTTCTCTCCTCCTCCTCCTCCTCCTTCTTCTCTCCTCCTCCTCCTTCTCTCCTCCTCCTCCTTCTTCTCTCCTCCTCCTCCTCTTCTTCTTCTTCCTCCTCTTCTTCATCTTCTCCTCTTTCTCTCCTCCTCCTCTCCTCCTCTCCTCCTCCTCCTCCTCCTCCTCCTCCTCCTCCTCCTCCTCCTCTTCTTCTTCTTCTTCTTCTTCTTCTTCTTCTTCTTCTCCTGTTCCTCCTCCTCCTTCTCTCCTCCTCCTCCTCTTCTTCTCCTCCTCCCCTCCTCCTCCTCCTCCTCCTCCTCCTCCTCCTCCTCCTCTTCTTCTTCTTCTTCTTCTTCTTCTTCTTCTTCTTCTTCTTCTTCTTCTTCTTCTTCGTCTTCTTCTTCTTCTTCTTCTTCTTCTTCTTCTTCTTCTTCTTCTTCTTCTTCTCCTCCTCCTCCTCCTCCTCCTCCTCCTCCTCCTCCTCCTCCTCCTCCTCCTCCTCCTTCTTCTTCTTCTTCTTCTTCTTCTTCTTCTTCTTCTTCTTCTAATCTTCAGTTCGATTCATAGTCTGGGATTGGTAAAAACTGAGCAGGTCAGTTCAAGTCCTAACCAAGGACCTAAGAGAGCTGTGAAGGTATCGTCTGAGTACATAGGCAGGTCCACGTAAGGTGGTTTTTTGCAAAGTCAGGATATCCTGGTTTCATCAGTTCAGGATCTCCATGTGTTTGGGCAGCCCTTTGGATATTGTTCCAAGGGCTCCTATTATTATTGGTACAAGCATTGATCTCTACCTTCATAGTTGCTCAATGTCAATTTGCAAATCACGATATTTCGTTATTTTTTCTCTTCCCTTCGTGCATCACCTGGGCCAGACTTTTTTTCTTTGCCACAATAGTGATGTCAGGTGTGTTGTGGGAAAGGTATCTTTTGGGATTCAAAAGTCCCAAAAAACCTTGACTGGGAAGAATATTATAATATTGCTCTATTTAATGTGACCTACACCGATCCTCCTCCCCGCTTCTTTCCTCTCCCCTCCTCCTACTCTCTCTCCTCCTCATCCTCCTCCTCCTCCTCCTCTCCTCCTCCTCCTCCTCCTCCTCCTCCTCCTCCTCCTCCTCCTCCTCCTCCTCCTTCTTCTTCTTCTTCTTCTTCTTCTTCTTCTTCTTCTTCTTCTAATCTTCAGTTCGATTCATAGTCTGGGATTGGTAAAAACTGAGCAGGTCAGTTCAAGTCCTAACCAAGGACCTAAGAGAGCTGTGAAGGTATCGTCTGAGTACATAGGCAGGTCCACGTAAGGTGGTTTTTTGCAAAGTCAGGATATCCTGGTTTCATCAGTTCAGGATCTCCATGTGTTTGGGCAGCCCTTTGGATATTGTTCCAAGGGCTCCTATTATTATTGGTACAAGCATTGATCTCTACCTTCATAGTTGCTCAATGTCAATTTGCAAATCACGATATTTCGTTATTTTTTCTCTTCCCTTCGTGCATCACCTGGGCCAGACTTTTTTTCTTTGCCACAATAGTGATGTCAGGTGTGTTGTGGGAAAGGTATCTTTTGGGATTCAAAAGTCCCAAAAAACCTTGACTGGGAAGAATATTATAATATTGCTCTATTTAATGTGACCTACACCGATGATCCATGTTTTATTTTATGGTGGTGGCAGGGTCCAAAATTCTTCATTGTTGGTTTTTAGGAACGAGACCTATAAAGAAAAGATGGGCTTGTTTTTATTTTTGCTCTGTGACTTTATCCCACACTCAGAGAATCCACACGCCTTCACTTTAAAATTCCTCTCGCGGTCCTGTAAGATGAAACCTGGTGGTCCATGATATTCAGAAGAGTGAAAGATGAAACATAAGACTTAGCTGTATTAGTCTGGTCTTTATATAGATTAAGTTGGTAACCGCTGCAGATGAATTTAGCTTTCTGTGCCTGTGCGCGATCTCGCACACACTACCTTTGCTTCAGTCTTGCCCGTCTCTTTAGTTTGCAAAGCATAGCTCTAGATCTCAAAGTTTATACAGCATTATAGCTTGGTCATATAGGTAAGTCCTCGTCTTACAACAGTTCATTTAGCGACCGTTCAAAGTTACAACAGCAATTAAAAATTAATGGAATGGAATGAAAGAATAGAATAGAATTAAGAATAGAATAGAATAGAATAGAATAGAATAGAATAGAATAGAATAGAATAGAATAATATATAGAATAGAATGGAATGGAATGGAATGGAATGGAATGGAATAGAATGTAGAGTAGAGTAGAGCAGAGCAGAGCAGAATAGAATAGAATAGAATAATAATATATAGAATAGAATGTAGAATGGAATGAAATAGAATATAGAATAGAGTAGAGTAGAATAGAATAGAATAGAATAAAATGAAATAGAATGTAGAGTAGAGTAGAATAGAGTAATAATATATAGAATAGAATAGAATATAGAATAGAATAGAATAGAATATAGAATATATTATTCTATTCTATTCTATTCTATTCTATTCTACTCTACTCTATATAAATATAGAGTAGAGTAGAATAGAGTAGAATAGAATAGAATAGAATAATATATAGAATAGAATAGAATAAAATGGAATGGAATAGAATAATAGAATAGAATGGAATACAATACAATACAATACAATACAATACAATACTGGAATGAAGAATAGAATTAGAATTATATGGTATATCATGTGGCAACTATGCTAGTGTCAGGTGTGAAGGACCAGCTCCACACATGAAAGTCCAATTAAACTGATTTATTGTCAAAACTCTAAGCACAGGATTTAGCACTTGCTGGAGTTAGGGAAGGGCCAATAGAATTCAAGGGAGGGTGGACTGAGTTTGCTTG